TCCACATATATGATTAAGCCAGGGGATAGGAGGGGTTTTACATCTCCCAGTTAACGCCCTTCATTCAGCAAGCCCCTTTCAACAGCCAGTGAAGAAGAGCAGATACTCTGGAGGGAAATTAAAAGCACATTAAATGGGGTTCCTGCTCTGGAGGAGCCTTTGGAGACATTTCTCTCTCTCTCCACTGACCTGGCTCCCCAATGAGGCACGGAAACTAGGGAATCCCCCCAGCTGGTTTGCTTGCTTGCAAAGTTTGCAGAAGGGAGATGCCCAGGATACCTGCCTAGGTATCAACCAGCACCACTGGAGGTCAAATAGGAATTAAAGGCGTTGGCAGGAACAGGTTTAACACCCCAAGCCTACTAGGGGAGAGAAGGCAGCATTATCAATTCCAGCCCCTGACCTTGAAATGATGTAAATAAGAGTGCAGCAACCCTAGAGGAGTTGTAGCAAAATAGTTATAGCGATTCAAGCAGATTAAAAAATACAGTTAATATACATACATTCCCCAGATGCTTGTTTATTATTATGCAAGACATGTTTATTATGCAAAATGATAGAGCAGGAAAAAAAAACAGAGGGGAAAAAATGCAAAGACACTGAGCTCTTAACATGACTTGGGTTTTTTTCAGTGCTGTTTAGATTTTTTTTATTGTGCATAATCATTCCCTTATTAGCAGGAATCTTTGAAGTGATTCAAGCTCTAATTTCAATATTTCAAACTCGTACGTTTATACTGTAAAACCACACTGAGCTCTTGTAAGTGACCCATTTTTTTCCCCCTCTGTATTCCGTCTCTCTGCTAAGGTTTTCTCATCCTTTCCAATAAATTATGTATCACAATTTGCCATTTCAAAAATAATTAGAACGCAGAGTTAAACAACAAAGAGTATCTGAGAGCAGTACATTTTAGAAAAGAAGTGTTATGCACTTGGGGCAAAACCAATCCCAGCTGTAACACCACTGAATTATACACGTCATCGTACCCAGGGCTGCAATTTCGGTGTACTGGGAGTGACTGGGTGGGTGTGCAGAGGCTCTACAGCCCCATGATGGGCATCCAGGAGAACCAGGTTTAACTCTCAGGCAAAACACTTCCCAGGTGCTCCCTTCCCCATGCTCCCCTGAGATGCTGCAGCAGGGTTAACAGAGAGAAAACTGGGCAACGAGGAGAGAAACTTCCCAGAAAAAGGTTTTACAGAATAGGAATTCATTTGGTGGCAGAACTATCAACTCTAGACAGAGACAGAAGAGCATGTTCTGTGTTTCTGCCGTGACGATTAGCCTGTAAACTCACTGGAGCAGGACGTGCCTCTTCATTCCATTTCCTTCTTCTCTGCAACCACCCGCCTTTGGCTGCGCCTTCCCAAGCGCTAACACTACAAGTCATACCCACTGCCCTTCATCCATTCTGTGTATTTTTACTCTGGCATGAAATGCTAACAGTAGATCCTCTGGAGAGTCATGTCACTCCCCAGAACAGGTGCTAATGAAAACCTCTGGGCACCATCAGGGAATCTGCAGCTGCTCTACATTACAAGAAATCAAATGGTAACACACCAATGACTCTGCAAGCTTGCTATGAAAACAGAGGTTTGCATCCTACTGCCTGCAAAGCCAGCTGCCTCGGACCAAGACCTGATTTTATTGCCTACTAAGCACCTAATGCCTTAACAGACCTCAGATGTAGCAACAAGCTAGTCAAGAAAAAACAAAATCAGGTATCTAGTGTAAGTAAACAATGCACAGAAGTCATAAACAGCTGCTTCCCAAGAAAAGAGGCTTTGGCATCTAACGCTGGCTAGGGACCCATGGTTGGCTTGAACCCAGCAACCCAACCCCACAAGGTCCCTGCCCATCCCTAATTGAACAGAGGAGATGAGGAAACTCATTGCTAAAAGCATCAATGGGGAGGGTCTTGGGTGTTTCTGCAAAGAGCCTTCCCACCAAGGCTGGCTTTAGAGGACCCGACTCAGCCCTGCTTTTGTGCTGATGGGCACCAGGAGGAGTTTTTCCAAGGGCTGGTTATTCTAAACCCATTCATTCATTCAAGAGGCCCATTGGCCCAAACTCAGAAGGAGCTGGCACAAACCATCTCGGAGAACAGGCTGATAATAGCCTCTGGTTTTATCCAGGGCAGAGGATGTCAGCCAAGCTCTCAGCTGACACACACAGATTAAATAGCACAAAAACCGCCCCACCAAACAAAAACAAAACAAACCCACAGTGGTGATGTGTTCAGTCACAGCCACAAGCTGCGCTCAAGAGGAGGAAAAAAAAAATCCACCAAAAAACCCACCCATCTCCCTGGAGAGCTGCATTTCATACAAAAGCAGTCCTGAGCTTGAGGGTGTTGTAAGAAGTCCTAGCAGGACTAGGGCTGGGACAGACAGCAGGGGAGGCAGCTCAGCAGCAGAAAAAGTTCATTTATCAGTGGATCTACATGAATGAACAGTATCTGTGGGGAATATTGACCCATTTTTCAGAAATACCTCAGAAAAGGCTAGTGAAAAAAAATAGGTACATGCACAACCAAAATAAACTGGCCGGAGACAGAGCAAAGCTGTGGTTTAGGGTCTGTTAAGCAAAGGGACCATGTGTCCTTTGGTGTGGGCAGCAATCCGGTCCAGGGTCCCTGCTCACCCCAGGGAGGAACAGACTGTCAACTCCTGCCAAAGCAATTCCCCAGCACAGTCTGACACAGCCGTGTCAAGTGTTGGCTTGGAGTGGGATCCCAGCCCCAGAAGGAAAGCTGCAGCATCCAAACGAAACTGCTTGGACAGTCTGACCTCTCAGCCATACCGGGTTGTCTTACAGGACCCCAGTATCACCCCTTGTGTTGGATGCTGTGGCCTGACCCACGCTCCCTGCTCCTAACAGCCTCTATTCACAAATTTTATCTTTTCTTGCTTTGGGGTCTGCTCCATAGCACAGTGGATTCATTGATCTACTCCTGTAAGACAGAGCCACAAGAAGAAAAAGTCCATCTCCCTGGATTAGAGACAGGCCAGCAGCATCCATTTACTGCAAGCAGAAAACCTGCATCACGTGGATGAAATGACCAGCTTAACTCTGGTTAGTTCAGAGAGAAGGGAACGCCACCAAGCCATGGTGTATAATGAGGTCCACTTCATGAACCACTGACCATCACAGTGCGTCCTGAGCCTCCCCTGATTAACCCTCCTATTCAGAGACAGGTACATGTGGTGGGAACAAGCAAGCCCCATTAAACCACCCTCACCTGAATAAATGTATGATCTGGTGCCTTTTAGGACACTCCACCGGACTAGCAGATATGTTTTTGTGGTCCTCCTGCTGCCCACCATCTCTTGGTATCTCCCTCCCACCCTTTGCATCATCTCACTACCGCCAGCAAGAGATCCTTTTCCTCTGCATCATCTCTAACCTCTCAGCTGTCCAACACCATGTTTCCATTTCTTTTGCCTGAGCCTCACACCCTCCCCTCCCCTGCACAATTTGTTCAGAAAACGCTGACCCCTCACTGCTCCAAAAAACCCCACCCAGGCTGGATGGGACCCTGTGACACACACCACTGTCCTGCAGCCCTCATTTTCAGGGCACTGGTGGTACAAAGAGCCCAAGTGCCAGGTGAGGACCCCTTTGTGCCCAGCACTGCACCAACACAGAGCAAAGCATCCGTCCTGACCCCCCGACTACGTGCCTAAAGGGAAGCACATGCGATAATTCAGCGCCACGCTGGGTATTACCTTTAGGACCCCGATAGCTTTACAAAAAGAGGAAGTTTTCCTTGTTAGCAAGCTGATGTAATTTATTTAGAAGCAGTCATTTCTGTTTACTGGGCTATGGAAGAACAGGAAGCGTCTGGCATCCACGGAGATCCAGATTGATCTCTGCCTCCTCTTGACAAGCAGCCAGCTCTGCGACCCGTCTCGCCAGGCATACCAACACATCCACTCGCTGCTTCCTACCCTGAGCCACTGGGGAGACAGAGCTTTGCTACCTCCCAAGGGAAAAGGGCAAACCCCCACCATGTGAGCAGCTTAAAACTGACCAGGGATGGAGATGGACAATAAGAGTCAGGAAACATCGCACAGGAGCAACTCAGACTGTTGTCCTTTCAGTGGCTCTCTCTCCAAGCTCACGTATGTTTTCAGAGCAAAGTAAATGTCTAGACAAGAGCAGAATGGCTGCTCTGTAAATTTACACAAAGGCAGATGAGATTAGAATCTCAGCTATATGCTTTAAAGCTATCATAACGACAGAAACGAGAAGTGTATTATTAACTATCACTTTTTACTATGTAGAACTAGAGCAAAGTTATTTGAAGCATAAAAAAATTCTGGCAAAGGGCTGCCATATTTAATAAATCACTGAATCAATTATTCACTGTGAAAATCAATTACTTACTTCAAATGAGAATCTTATGAATAACCTCATGCCCTTTCATGCCATCTAAGAAAGTTATGGGGAATTAGTCAGTAAAAAAATGCCTCACTTATCTTTTATGTGCATTAAAAAGACCACACAAATACAAGGCAATTCTGCTCCACTGAAGCACTCTGCCAATAGAAGAGTCCAGAACCATTTTAATGAAGTCAGCGTACTGCTGTGGATTTACACTGCAGTCAAAAGCAGGGTATGACCCACTGGGGCACCAATGTGACCAGTTATCTGAGCACAATTCAGAAGCAATTTCATTCAGTCCATGCCACTCCACAAATGTGAAACCAGAACAGAACCAGCCAACCACACAACCTCCTCTACAACGTGACCTACATTAAGTAAATACTCCAAGGAACACACAGTGTATCCTCACAGGTCAGGAAATACTGCCACGAATCTCCACAGAGACACTTTAAAGTGAATATTGCATGGCCGTGCAGCAGCTCCCCTCGTTCCTGCTTTTAAAGGTTTGCTGAGACATGACCATCTTCAGAAAAAGCTGAAAGTCCCAATGCAGTTCACCCCCTCCCACCTAGAAAAACCAAACCCCTCCAGGAACCCACCAAAGTACTTACTGAGCTGTAGAGATAGCCCTCGGCGTTCATGGCAACGTACAGACCTGCCTTCACCCCTTGAATTGCCACCACGCGAAGACCCACAGGAATTAGATTGAAAAGGGCTGTGGAGGGAAAAGAAAAGCAAAGGTTAGGGAGTCATCACTCTGCATGGCTGCTGGTGCTGTCTGCCTCGGGGCCAGCCCACCCCACTCCTGACCCTTACAAAAGATCCTGAGCTATAATCAAAAGTCCTGCTCGCAGCTACAGGAAAGGTCTGCAGCAGTGGGGACAATGTTCAAAGCAAATTTTAAGTCGTACTGACTTTGGCTGCCTCCCAGAAGCCTTAACACACCCATCGGTCTGATAACTGCCTTTGCAATGCCAAGGGCACACAGGTGCACTCAAGCTGGCACATCTCAACGGCTTTCCACGAGCCAGCTGAGCTGCGGTACCTGCACACGGGCACAGACACTACGGCTTCTATTCAAGGTCCCTTCCTGCACAACTGCCCTGAAATAATTTTTTTTTTTTTCTGGCTCCCTAGTCATGATGTCAAGAGTGCCCCTTCCACATTCATCAAGCATTTCTCGTGCCTATTTAACACTCGCTTCTTTGCAAAAGCCTGCTTAAAACATCTCAAGAGCTTCAGGGTGCTCAAAGCAGCCCAGAGGAGACCTGTCAATGGTCAGAGCGCAGCGGCAAGGCTGAGCGACAGAGCACACCGTGGAGCTGACCATTAAGGACATCATCTTCTAGGCGATTCACGTGATAGATAATTTACAAAGCTTTATGCCTGACATCACACTGGAGCAAGCACAGCACAAGGGGGTCTGCACATAACAGCTGGAGGAGGAACAGTCCTTCTCACCATGCCATGGCCCAGCCCCTCCTGCCCTGGGAGACAGACCACTGCTGATTTAACATCAGCCTGGAAGGACAAAGCAGTTTGTGCTGAAATGGCCCATTCTGTTCATCCTGGTATGATGGGAGAGTGAAGAGTCCAGCTCAGCATCACCCCCAGCCCCAAGGAGACCGGTTAGATACACACACGCCAGGTAACACAGATTGAACTCAACCACAGGATGCTTCCCAACATCCTCCCCCATGTACAGCCTGGGAATTATTGCAGAGAGGAGGAGACAGAAGTGTGTTTGGATTCCTTTCCAAAGGAGAAAAAAAAAAAAAAGACAAACAACATTTATAGCAAACATGGAGAGAAAGAAGGGGGAAAAAAAACCTGAAATTAGGGCTTGATTCTTTCCTTGCAGCCAGTGGTTCAGACTACAATTCTAAGACAAAAAAGCACAGCCCAAAGGGTGCGTGAAATGCAACAGGAAACTGGTTAGGTTTGACCTGAACTCATGGAGGATTTGCTGAAAGTTCAGAGGTGGATACCTCTTCAGCAGTAAACCCTGAAAAAGCACAGGAGATAGAAAGCCATGTTGCTCAAGATATCTAACAGGTGCCCTGGCTAAACTGGTTTTAGGGCTGCCTCCATCAAGGGATTCAGGAATCCCAGTATCACATCAATGCCCTTTTCTCTCCCTCGATTCCCAAGAAGACTGGATGACTCCTGCAGTCAGCCACCTGGAAGGGAGGCACCTCCATCAAGTCAAGCTTACATTTCTATCACTTTCTTTTAGACTATGAATGTCTAAAACCCTCTGCAATTAACATGTCTATTTATAAGCAATTCCACTTTCCTAATTTTTCCCTGCACACTGAAAAATGGAGCATATTACTACTAATAATGAAACAAAATGGGCATCATCACTCATTGCCTACAGCCAATTTGTCTTGCATAGAAAACTTGTGACAGACCATTCAAAGCATTCATTAGGCTGTGAGGTGCTAATACCCAGAATCAGTGGGTGAGAAATTCCCCTTGGAAGCCCACAGAGACTCCAAATCTCTCTTTCCACCTATAAGTGCCAAGGGAGCACAGGAACAATCCTGTTTTGCTCTGTGTTGGCGTAGCAAGACCACTGGTGGTTCCCAAGCTCCCTGGGACCCTGCTGCAGACCGTGGCAGCAACACCCACCGTCACGGCTCACGGGCATGGCAGAGCATCTCCTGCAGCACACCAAGGCAACCAAGTGGGCAGGCAAGCAGGAGGACACGCATCTGACACAGGTAACTGAGAGCCAAAGAAGTTTTAGGATGCAAATGTGTTCCTCTCTTAAAAGAAATTATTTGGATCAATCAAAACTTTGTAAATTCTTCGAGCTTTTTCTGCACTCAAATCTAGAAATATCCTTGAAGAAGTTGAAGCCTTTTGTTATCAGGCTTCTAAATGAATATTTGATCTTGTTTTGGAACAGATTTCAAAGCTGATAAGCTTTATTGTAAGAATGTAAAACTGCGAGGGGAAAAACCCTCAACGAACCTCAAAAGCAAGATGTCTCATTTCCTCTCAGGAAAAAAAATTCTGGTTAACGTGAAGCAGCAGATTTAGAGATGGGGAAGAGGAGTAGCTATAGAGCAGGACTCAACACAGGGTGTGCTGATGTGAAAAAGAAAATTTAACAAAGGCTTTTAAAACACTACTGCAAATGGTGCATTTCCTATGCCATCTGCAACTGCGTGGAATGGAAACGCTCTTTTACTTCATGGGCAGAAGACAAAAAAATTAAGACACTGAATTTTTGCCTATTTTCCTTCATTACATCTTACCATTTTCAGACATCAACAGATGTACACCTGACCCTGCTTATTGATGGTACTACTTTTAGCATGCTCCAGTCCTAAACCCTTGGGCCATGAGTGTGTTGTCCACTGTTACGTTACGGCAGTTTCTCAGCTGCGTAAAATTCAGATTTGTAAAATCTGAATGCATACTTGACTACGGGTCTGGGCTAACTTATTTACAGAAATGGAAGAGTAAGGCAAGCTGTGCCATATATAAGATGTGGTCCATATGCTCAGCTGATTTAAACAGCAGTAAGTCAGGGGACCTAATTTATCCCAGGTGACTGGTCCTGCTGCACACAAATAGGGAAGAACTCATGGAGGATGAAATAGGCAAGACCAGCCCTGGTACACCATGGGATCAGGAGGTTTAAGACCCTGAGGGGGCTGAGGAAGGCTGCTAAGATGATCAAGAAGCTGTGACACAACATATGAGAAGAAACTGAGGGAACTGGGTTGGCTTAGCCCAAAGAAGGGAAAGCTAACACTGCCAGAGATGGATTCTTCTGTCCTTTCACAGTGTTCCTCTGAGGAGGCATTAGATAAAAGTGAAATAAATCATGACTGGATATAAATAAAATTCTCTAAAATGAGAATACTGCAGCACTGGCACCAGAGAGGTCATGAAGCTATGGAACAGCCCATCCTGGAGATATCTGAAAAAAACCAGACAAGGCACCGCACAGCTGAAGATAACCCAGCTCCCAGCAGGATGTTGGACTGGAGACCTCCAGAGGTTTCCCCAGTCTTCATCTTTTTGTGTTTCTATCTGGAAAGCCCCAAAAAATATCCTAGCTACACTGGGCTCTTTCCAGCTGGTCAGTCCTTTATGGAGCTGACCTGTCCATTTGCTGAGGCTTTTTTAGGATTATGCTACCCAACAAAGCAGCTCGGTTGCTCTCACAAAGGGGTGTTAACTCTGCACAGCCCAGGAAAGAGCAATAAAGACGTAAGGACAGACAGCAACCCTGAAAGATCACTGGAGATGGAAGGGAAAGATACTGCCTCCAATTCAGGATCACATATAACCTTACCAAGAACACAAACAACTGCCTCGTACACAAAGCTGCATTAAAAGAAAATTCTTCATATATCCCAACACAAGTAGGCAGAGCACCTTTCTTGTTTCCATTAAGATGGCGTGCCTGTAACTGCATGGGATAAGGAACAGATGTCCCAAGGGCTGTTTCGCAGGAAGCTGGCTGGATGCCCATTCAAATGCCACTACAACTTGGCTTCTGGGTTTTTTTTTTTTTCCTTTAAGTGAGAGGAGGTGGAAAATAAATGCCATCAGCCTGTCAAGAACACACAAAAAACGGGCACCAGATAATTAAAAAATTGCTTAAATATTAGCAGTTCCTCTTACATAAATAACTGGATTTTTATTAGAACTTTTAATTGCATCAGACGTATCTGAGGGACATGTCATGTCTCATTTTCAACGTTTATTTTGCCAGGGTAAAGCAACCTCATGTACTCCATGAAAATTAAGCTTCCTTTCATAATGCTAACTTGAATAATCAGTGTGTGGCTACAGAACACATGTTGACCACATATTTAATTGTGCTGACATGGCTTCTGCATGGAGAATAGATGGTCACCCAGTGTGGGAAGGATCCTACCGTGGCCATCAAGCTGCCCTTCTCCAAATGTGGATGCGAGTTAACCAACCCCTCTCCAGGAACAGGGAAATATTCTTTATCTAGTCTTTGAGTTTTGCCCTTGGACAGAAATACTGCACAGACTTCTCACTGGCTGGTCAGGAATATTCTAGAGAAGTATTTTAAAAAATAATATATCAGTGAAGTAAATCTGTAAGCTCTTCACCTAGACAAGTGAGTTTTGACTTTTTTCAGTCAAAAATTGAGAAGTTTGGAAGAATAGAAAAGGAAAAAATAGTATGTTTTATTTTTTGCATTTGCAAAGTGAAAAATGTGATTTTGTTTTGAAGCTATAACTGGAAACCTCATCTAATATAAAATGTTGACTCAAACTGAGGTTTTAAAAGGCGTGTGCGTGGCAAAAAGTTAAACAAAACTGAATACGGCATATTCTTAATTTCATTTTCAGGAGCCAAATATCATCAGGTTGGATTTTTTCCTCTTTTGATATCCCCTGAGACTGGGGGATGGGTAATTCTTTGGCTTCAGTCTTCTCTCAGAAACTTCACTCAACTTTCCAGCATAGCCCATGACTTTGAGCAAGTGGCTTGGCACACTTCAGCGAGATACCTCCTGTCCCACCAAGCTGCCAAGGCATGGCTGCCATCTCACCAGACCAAGTTATGCTCTACAAGTGCCCTTCAGCCCATCCATTTCCCATCATGAAGACTGGGCAGAAGTGGCTCACCAGAGTACTCGCCATCTCTAACATTTCTAACGGGACATGTAAGAGCTCTTTGGGCAACTGGGGCCCAACCTCAGCCATGGGGACTCAGAGGTTCCCCTGCACCCCACAAGCTGTGGCCAGAGGCAGCTTCCCTTGTCTCCCCCAACAGCCTGAAATACAGCAGCACTGCTCCTATGTTTTATTCTCCTCTGTTGTTTACCTAAATCCATCTCTGCTTCCCTTTAAGCCCATTACTTTGTTGTTCAGTCCTCACTGACAGATGAGGGTAATGAATCCCTGTCATCTCCAGCAGCTCATCCCATGTCATTGACAAATAGACCTCCAACGGGATTTTCTGCAGATTGAGAACACCCTACGTCTCTTTTCTTTACAAAAAAAGCAGCTAATACGACCCAGCGCTGGGTCATTACTCACCCACTAAAGCCCACTGAACTCATCCCGTGTGCTGGTACCTGCCTGAGGAAGCCACAAGGACAGACTCGTCTTGCAGGAAGAGACCTGCTCAACCCCTCACACAATAAAAGTGTGTGTGTGGAGGTCCACAGATTCTCCTGCTCCCATGTAAATTAGAAGCTGTGACACTGCAATTTGGTGGTATTGCATTTGTTCAACACCAACAGATGAAAAAAGGGACTAAAACCTGACACTCCCATCTGCTACACACCAAGCATCTGCTGAACACAGCCTCTTGGGTCATTTCACAAGGGCTTTGCCAGGCTCCCACAATTTCAGCTGTCATCTTCCCAAAGCTCTTCTTGTGCATGGAGCCCAGCCCTGAGCTGGCTGCAGCAGAGGGGATGGGGTAAACACCATGGACGTGGGGTTGCAGCCACCTTCCACCCTTGTCCAAGCGTACCTCCACAGGACAACGTCAATGCCCTGCTACGTCTGCTGCACCACCGCAGACACCCCTCACCATGCCTTCCTGAAGGAACAATGCCTTCCATCCAGCTTCCTTGAGTTAGGACAAGATTTGTCCCCAAATTAAGTAGGCTCCTTTCACAAAGTACATGAAGTTTGCTTCCATCGATCCTACCACATCGCTGAACTTCTGTTCATGTCTAGTAATGACTTGGAAGACACCTTCCATGGTGGACAAGCTAGACATGATGTCCCTTCAGCAGCAGCACAGGTAGCTTCAAACCAACATGGGATGCCCCAAACCACTAAAGTCCTACTCTGTTGATGCAGTTTGTGACACCAAGGATGATACTTGTCCTCTCAGAAGGATCAATCTGAGGGTTATGAAATGAAGAGACACTGTAGAAAATATCCTGCACCTTTTTTAACCCTTGGAGGAGCTTTGGTATTGACAAAACTACTTATTTACAAAAGAAATATTGGCTACCGCTTTGCATTTGTTTAAGCCAATATGTCTCCTGCACATGAGCATCACTTTCAAACCTATGTGGCCCTGCTGCACTTTGCTGTCCTTTGATGGACAGCATGAACCTTGGAACAGGGTTTTGGAAGTTGACATCCTTTAGAAAGCTCCTTCGACACCCTCAGCCTTGACACTAGCTCCAAAGCACTAAGATTTTAGTGAACAGCTGGTTTTCTCCAGCCTGGAAACTCCTGATGCTTGCCAAATTTTTCAGGATAAAATAGTGAAAACAATTTTCTCCCCTTCTCCTTGGAGAGAGAATTCCCTGTATCCTCTACCCATGCAGCACGTGTAGAAGATAATCTCCTTTCTCTTCCGGCAGCAATTCAGATCATGGGCTTTATTCTCCACTCCACCCAGATGGCAGCTACAGAATCAGGGCGGGAGGGAAGTATATCGGAGAGAAAACATATGAAACTATACAGGCAAGATTTAAAGGGGAAGGATAGATAGAAAAAATGTGCATCAAACAGCTGGCCTCCTCCTAATTCAACCTTTTCAAAAATAAAGCTGCACAAGTGAGACCCACTAGGTGATACATCTCATTGTCACTGGCTTGCAAAACATATTAATTTTTCTTACTGTAGTCACTGTTTTCGTCCTTGGTCCCATCAATTGTACCATCTGGGTGCATCTGCAGGAAGTGTTCCTGCTGGCTGAATAACCTTGTCACAATTCCTTTTAGCTGGGGTTCTGCAAAAAAAATAAAAAATTATTAGCTATAGCAAACATGCAGTAAGTAGCAAGAGACCCAATTTGCTTGGCCCCCATTAAGCCCCGAGTAAATGTCAGAGTGCTCGGCAGATACGACAGCTTTCTGCGATTCCTTTCAAGCGTGGTTGTAAAATATTCATATATACATAGATGTACAGGCAAATAAAACTGACATCAGATGAGGAGGCAAAATGCAATGCATAGTTGGTACAGCAGAAAATAACTGATTTATGAAACATTGCTTCGCTGAAAGTTACCTACCAAATGAAAGTCTTTAGGCAGCTTATGTATTCTGAATATGCCCCTCGTTCAGAAGAATATTTGCTAGCAGTGATGCAAAGAATTTGCTTATTGTTTCTTATTCTGCCTGTGAAGCCAACCCCCTTGCTTTCTGTATGGCTGATTCACTACCGTGCACTTCCAGTTTTATGCCACCAAAAATGTATTTAAACCATTGGTATTAGAGTGGTGTAAAACCAAAGTAAGCGAGTGCTGAATCAGGCTGCACGAGTCCCACTGCAGGGGACTCGGGGAACAAGATCCTGAAAAGAACAGATGCAAGCCACCTCCAGAAACGACCTCTGAAGCATTTCTAGGCACCTTAAAACACCTCTGTTTGAAAATCCCACATGCCTCCCCCTCCCAGAACACGTGCCACACACTCTGGTAGATGAGAATCCCTCTCTGCCTCTAGCAGGGTCCTTCTCCAGCCCCTGGAACATCACGAGCCAGCCATGGACCGGCCAGGGGCTTCCCTAGTGCTCCTAGGAAAAGGGAAATACAACACACAAAAAAAGCAGAAACAATCTGAACTTCACATGACAGAGGTCTGCAGCATTACCGCCTGTCTCCCTGCCATCCAACCAACCAAATTAAATGGTCAAAAATAAATTCCATTTTAATCACGCGAGCTTCACGACTGGCCACAGGCGTTGCTTTGGGAAAGGCAGCTAGCCACCTCCCCGGGCACAGACGCTGCAGAGCGCTTCCTCGTGTTTGATGTGACCACCCACCACAAGTAAATAAACAAGACCTAGTTATTGCTGGCTCAACAGACAGGAAAAAATCCAGCGCAGCATACCAAAACCTCATCAGCCTCCCGCCTTTCATGCCTCTAGTGAGGCTGGTTAATAAGCCATCGGCGTTACATAACCCCGGTCACGTTGTGTGTTAAGTGTTTCCATTACGAGCCCCCGTCTCTAACGATTCTGCACCGCGCTGTACAGCCTCCACTGGCACCCAGCACCGGCACCGCCCCGGCAGCACGCGGGGACCCCGGGTGCCAAGGGTTCCAGCTCCGGCAACCCCTGCACCGGCCTGGGAAACTCAGGGACTGCTTCATAGCTACAAAAAACCACCGAATAAATCAGTATTGGCTGGTTGCTACTCTGCCTTTAGAAAGGGATTTCATAGCAACCGAGGCGTTGTAGACTCCAGGCAGGCTTCCTCCCAGCAAGGCAACTGTGGGGCAGTGAACAGGGACAATGGTGCTGGCCAGAGCGAACGTCAGCCAAGCCAATAGGTCAAACAGACTCAGATGGAGCTAAGTGTTTTGCTTTCTCCTTACCAAAACAAAATCTCTATTTTGTCGAAGGCAGCAGCTTGATTGAACTTGCTTTTCTAACGAGCACATCAAAGCCGAAGGAAACGCAAAGCTGTGTTCCCAGGCACAGACTGCACCACCCTCCTCGCACCTGTCCCCTTCCTCCCTTTTATCTCACACCACAATAGTAAAGGTACTAATAGGCACTGTCTGATATGAAAGACCCACGTTTGGCTCCCTGAATGAGTCTGAGCCTCGTTTTTACTCTCTGGTTAAATTTTAATGTTTAAGTACTTTGCACCAAATGGAAGAGCTCCCAGCAGGAGAGGCTCAGAAGATGCTCCTGCAGCCCGAGGCTTTCTGTGTGGTGGGGAAGGGGGGAGATCTTGTCTTAAAGCTCCTCAAGGACAAGAGGAGTGGAGATAAGCCGAGATAAAAACAAACTCCGACCTTTTCCCCTTCCTTGGGAAGAAGATTTGACTGGAGGATAGCCCTTTTCTTCTTCAGGATGCAAACCAGACTTTGATCACGCAAATTATTTTAGAAGGACATGAAAACCTCTCCCAATTTTCCTAAATAGCCTACTGAGCAAAACATAGAGGAAACCTGCCCATCATTAGTAGCTTCATGTCATTTTTAGAGTTTAGCCAAACAGCACCTACGATGCCCCGAGGTCCCCCCGCATCCACGATGCAAATGCTGTTGCACCAGAAGGCAAAGTGCCACCACAGCGAAACACAGGGTGAAGCCCCAGCATCTCTTTTTGGTACTGATACGATATAAACACACGGTCAGCTCCCAGTCAAGCTTTAACAACTTCCCTCTTCATAATCCCTGGCTTTTCCGAGCCAACACCTGCCTAGGGACAGACTGGAGGAGAAATCTTACATGTGCTTTTTTTTTTCCTGACTTGACCTGGTTTTGCTGAAGTTTGAGGCTCACGCCCAAACTCCAAGTAAAAAACTCAAGGGGAGCGAAGCAGCGAGCTGGGAGCCATCCACAAACCCAGCTCCTCCTGGCGCTAAGGCTGTCTGACAGCAGCGGCGTTCCTGCCTCCCCTGCACACATCCTCTCCTGCAGGAGCATCCCTGCTCCCCAGACTCACTTAGGAAGCAGTGCCAGCAAACAAATGCCTTTTCCAGACACCAAAGGGTCACAAAGCACTTGGGAGACATCCAGATCTCTCCTTCCCCTGTTTCTGCATCTCCTTGGGTGTCTTTCTGCAGGGAGAAGTGCTGGTGAGCGGCTGCACCCTTGGGTGACCATCTACACGAAACACAAAAGCAGCACAGAGACACGTGCAGCCAGCACCGCCTTCTCTCCTCCAACACAGAGCACAGCCCAGAGGGGTTAAGGAGGTGTCTGGGCAACGGGTGAGTTATTTTGGCATAACCCAACTCCTCTGAGAGGTTATGTGTTGGTAAAGGTTCAGGCTGTCGAGGACCGATCCAGGCTAGGATAATATCTAGGCTCCTCTCCCCGACAGCCCCACTGTGTAGCATGGGTATGTGTACAATGCCAGACCCCTGCCCATAAAATGATGTTTAAAAAAAGGAGACGAAGGAAAAGTGCCCACTGGGCCCCAATAGAGAGAGAATTAAACCAAACATCCAGATTACCAATATCCATATGCTTCACTAAATACCAAGATATTTGCTACTTGTTAGATTAGATCTAACAGAGCTAAACCTACTCAAATATTCATGGATTAAGGCACTTCTACACCTAATAGTAGCAAAAAATGATAATACAGATAACACTCATGATTGCAATTAAGGCAGCTGGGAGTGTCATACATCAGGTGTCCCTGGCCAGGAGGATGTCACTGCACCAGTGAGAGCCTCAACCTGCTCTGTCCTATTAATCAGCTCATGTAAAGTCATTTTACCCATATTCAGTGGCTAACACCTGTGATCCAAAAGCAAACCACAGGCAAGGCATCCTTTAACTCAGTTTCCATACTCTGTGTATGGCATATCATATATTTTAACATCGCTTTGTTCCATCTACAGTGCAATTTTATCAGTTTTCCAGCACTGCTGTCCCTTAGGCTGCAGCCATCATGCTGAAAACCTCAGTTTGGAGAAAAAACCTCAAAACCAGCAGAGGTCCTTGTCCATTAAGGATGGTGGGTTGCCCTGGTAAGTCCAAATGGAAGGCAGAAAGCCCAGAAAATAGACTGAGAACTTTTCACTGTTTTGCAGTAAAAAAAGAGAAGAGAACAACCCTTCCCAGCAGGCAATATTCCCAGTGCTTACTGGAGAACTGGGAGGGCAAAAAAAAATAAAATAAAAGCCCAGAACCTTGAAACTTTTGTCTCAAGTCCCCTCAATGACACTGCTCAAGGCTATAATCAATAAGAGAAAGAAGTAAATTATAAAAAAAAATGCAGCACAGATAAGCACAAACCCTGCCACAAGCATTTTCTTTCTATAATTCATAGAATTTACCAGGAATCAAACTCAAGCCTGCTCTCTAACCTCATTCTTGCACAGCAAGGACTCAGATCCTTTTGCTTTTAAAGGAGCAACACTGCATAACACGCTTGGGATAAACCTGTTCCTCCCACTCAGGCTCCCCCTCTCCTGTTCTGCTGTAGGAGCAGCTTTCCCTGCAGAAATGGAACTGAACTCATGTGGACAAGGCTTCAGCACCAACTTAGCATCTCCCTCAACACAAAGTCAAGTATTTCAGAATGGATTTAAGAATGAATTTACAACTGCCTTGATCCCAAAGTACCAACTAAACCCCAGAGATCTCCTCGCAGCATGTATTCCCAGTGCACACCCCATGCTATTAGGACTCCCATGCGATACGCAAAGGGATTTTTTTACCCTTATTTTATAAGCAATAGCATTATACTGTTCAATACTTACTTTAAGGATCCTGCTCCAGCTGCTCACACACAGCTGTTCAGGGCTGAGGATGCTGGAGAAAGCTCAGCAGACCCTCTCCTTATGCCAGTGCAGCCAACTCAAATCCTTCAAACGTGGTGCATCCAGAAGACAAAAGAGATCACCGCCAGGAACCATCCCCAACAGGCACAGCCACAGTGCAGAACAGAGCAAGTGGGAGCAGGAGCTAAGCCATGGACCTGCTCCTGCCTACAGCATCTACATCCCTTAGGGTGAAGACATGGTCCCCAGTTCCTAACCCTTCCTAGAGCAGTCACCCCGTAACCAGCTCACTGCACGTCCTCTGAAGAACATCCTGCTTGCTTCGCTTTCCACGGGCAAAACTGCCCACCTCTGCCTGCCCTGCTCTTAACTTCCTGAGCCCTTTGACACAGCTGAGGCTAACTAAATCATGATCGGATGGCTAATCTCCTTGTCTCTGCTGAGATGGCAATGTGATGATGCCATTACTCATTTCAGCTGTCCTGCTGCTGAGCCTTAAAGTCATCTCAGCTCACCATCAGCTGCTGTGATTCCTGCCT